GGGGTATTTTCAGAGATAACACGATATTTGCCTTAGCACACTAGGCTCCCAAGTCCCAGCACTAATACCGAATGAAGTCAGAAATAGACAGAGGTGTGTGGCAGTCCTTGAGGAACTGAGAGTGGACACCCATTGAGACACGATGCCTGGTCAGCCTACAAAGGATGACGGGATACGAAATCAAAGAGATCTGACCCGGGAGCACGAAGGACCCCTAGAGGAAGACCTTCCCAAAGGCAGGGAGGGACCAGGGATGGCATTGTGGGACATCACAACACCGCTTATAATGGTGAAGCAGTGGCCTGTCTAGTGAGGTATTTTTCACATTCAAGGGCAGAAACAAGGGCAAGTAGAGTTCATTGGGCAACTTTACATAATCATCCACACATGCCCTTTGACTAACTTGATGCCTTGATACTGGGAGCTTCTCAGAGACTGAGTCTGAGAGCATAGAGGTCTGTAATTTAACGTTCTAGAACTTATTTTTTCTTACAACAAAATAACAACCCTCTCTACTTTATCTTACCATTCAAAAGGAATGCAGTTCGGGTAACAATAATAATCGCAGTGACAGAATTTGAAGTTCTTGGAAGAAGACTGTTTATAAGTAGGATTCTTTCAGAAAACTTTAGGGATTTATTTACATTGTACCCTTGCTCATCAGCAGCCCATATTATATAGATTCTGAATAATCTCTTTCATATATTCTTTTTTGTCTTTTTCTTGATCTTTAGTTAGAATATCAAAACCAATGTATTTTAACACATTCTTCCTAAAACCAATCTTTTTTCTTGCTGAAATGCTTTCAGATTATCAAAGGACAATAGCATCGTGATTAAGAGTCTGAACTTGCATACTGACGCAATTCTTAAAACGGTGATCTTGGGCAAGTTATTAAACATCTCTGTGCCTGGGCTCAGCTTTGCTACTGTTGATAAGTACCATCAAATTAATGTTGACTGATAGTGACCCTCTGGGACAGAATGGAACTGTCCCATGGAGGTTGCTAGGCTACCCTCTTTCCTGGAGCGGATGGTCAGTTCTCTCTTCCATGGAGTGGCTTCTTGTTGTTGTCATTGTTGGGAGCTATTGGGTTGGTTCCAACCCATAGCGATCTCACACAATGGAGTGGCTAGGTATGTTCAAAACCTCAACCTTGGGCTAGCAGCCAAGCACTTTAGAATTGCACCATCAGAACTGTTCACCTTTAGGATGCTAATAGTATCAATATCCTATGATTGTTTTAAGGATTAAACAAGTTAATCCATGACAAATGTTATATTATAAAGTAAGCACTCAATAAATACTACTAACTCTTACCCCCAAAATCTACTCTCGATTCTTGACAACCTAGACACTATACGACTGACCAGCCCTCCATCATACCACTCTTCCTCAATGGAAAACACACATCAGAACTAAACTCATAATGATTAATTATTGAATTATGTGACATGTAAATTATATGCCAATAAAAGTGTTGGGGGGAAAAATAAAAAATTAATTTAAAAACGTATCTTTATGATATTTGAGAGGTATACATGCTTAAAACATAGGACAAAAACAAATGAAAATAAAGGCTTAGAAAAAGGGGGAAAAAAGAACTAAACTTATCAGTCACATCTACTAATTACACACCTTTCTCTCTGCTAGTCACCATAAACATGAGATACTAATTTTCCAAATGACGATTAATTATATGCATATGTATATATTAAACAATTTTTAACAAATTTTGTATGATTCAAAGATTACAATGAGACTTAAAGGAAATGTCCCTTGCAATTGGTTCATCTACAGGTACAGTCCCGTCCTGGGCAGCAAGGGTACCCTAGGGCAACGTTTTGGAAATGCTCGTTCTAGCATCCGTCATGTCCTCCTCAAAGATGTTCTTCTATAACACTTTATGAAACTTGTTATCATCCTTCTCCGATGCTTTCCTCTGCAAGCACCCTCCTACGTTCTCCCAGTCACAGTGATCGCCCCATCTTCGGAAATCCCACAATGCTGTCGTTTCTCTGTTTCCATCTGACGTTCTCAGAGCACACCACTGGACTCACACTTCTTGGCCCACACAGCATATTCTGCCTCACATGCTCTTCATTCTAAGTATTATTTGCCTCTTTCCACAATGCAAGGCGGCTCCAAAAAGTTCATGGGAAATGGGGTTAAAAGATACAGAAATATTCTGAAGTTACCTCCCGCACACATGCCTTCTTCCGGCTCTCCACAGGGCTGGTACCCCACACAAGGAGAACTCGGGACCCCCTCCCCCAGTAGTTCTCACATGGCAGAATGCACATATCAGCTAAAAAGGATTTATAGATCACTTATTTATGTGCTGTCAAGTGGTCAATATATGTCAAGTTGTCAATATAAATCATGACATGTCATAGTTAACGCCTTAAGTCGTAACCAAAAGAGGCTTTCTTGGATCTTAAGTGTTCAAGCAAACCTCACCTGGTTTTTCCGGTAGTCCTGCTGCGAATGTCTCAGGACGCGGTAGCAGAGCCTCAGCATGTACTTGTAGGGAGCGTACCGTTGGTCTCCCAGATCCTCAAGCCTCAGCATGGCGCCTTCTCCTGCTTTCTCCTTAAACGGAGCTTTCAGAATCCCAAACACCTGCCGGGAGCAAAGACAACCACGTAGTCGATGAGGGGAGCTGCATGGTTTGGAACTTATTTTCGTTTTGTTTTTGTTTTTTTCACAAATGAGAGCACTGACTCAAAAATACTTCCTTATAGGAGGAAAATTAACGTAAAGGAAAACAAAAGTAATACAGAGTCAATATACTGAGGAGCAGAAAAACACCGATGAATGATTTCTCATGTGTAATCACAGAACTATAACTTAGTAAATAGATTTCTTTAGAGATTATATTTGATTAAAATAAGAAATACAGAGATGTCGGGTTGTCCCAAGTAACATGGACATATTAAGATGAATTAAATGCAGATATGTTGTCTAGGTGTATACTTTCTTCTTTTACTTTCATTAGTTATTTTAAAACAAAACAATTAAAAGAAAAATGTTTACTATTCATCTGCAACTGACAGAAAATTGCCTCCAAATATTGATTCTAAAACTTGTTAGGAAAGACTCTATTGACTGGTCCTGGGACACAAAAATGGGGTCATGTTATTGTGCTGGTCATATTCTTCAAACACGACAAGTCAGGAGCTACAGGTGCATCCAGGGAGCCAGGGTCCTTTAGAAGAGAGTGTCCTGGTTGGGAAGTAATTGTTAAGTCCTTAACAGCAGAACGGCATGCAGGATCACTTGGGGAGAAGGTAGTAGGAAGAGCAAACTGTCCATTAAAAAGTACAGAGGTGTGAGCACTAATTCAAGAAGGAAAAATTAAAACCCTTAGCCCTTGGAACTCATGAAATATGATACAAATTCTAATTTGTTTAATATTCCATGCCCAATAAAACTTGAGTTTTATTATTTATAACATTTAGACTAAAATGCTGACATACGGTTAGGTCGATGATTAAAATAATATTAAGCCATGCAAGGTCATAAATATCCTTAAAATAATAATGCTTGTATAAAATAGCTACTGGTAGGAAAAAAATGGTCCTTTGCATCTGCGACTTTAATTTTACTTGATAAAAATATTGATTTTATATCTTTACTCAATTATAAAATATTAATTGGCAATATGTCTACTGTTTTTCTTTCCCAATTCCACAAGACTAGACAAATGCATTAATATCAACACTTTCATTGTTTTCACTCTTTCTTGAATCCACATTTAATTAATGTGGAAGTCCATTACTTTAAATAGCAATGGATTAAATGAACAATTATATTAGGTTTGGTAGGTCTATGTGTGTACATTGCTAGAAAGTAAGTTCACTTATTATGAGCCATTTCAGCAGGCATATTACAGAAAGAGTGCTAGGCTTTCAGAGGAATAAAGAACTACCATAATGTACAGACCATTTGTGAACTAATGAATACACAGTCCTCTTTATACTTTCCTGGAAAAGAAGTTGGAAGCAGCTGGAGATGGCTCTTTTCAAGTTCTACTGAAAATTCTACTTCGAAATGTTTCCAGTACAGTTTCTCAAGATCGTTTGACTGCATATGGCCTTAAGAGGCCTGAAGTAGACGGTAGCATTCCTGGGTGGTGCATGTGGTTAACACACTTTCGCTACGATTCAAAAAGTTGGTGGTGCAAATTCTACCTTACAAATCCGGCAGGACCAGAGGATGTGCACTGGTACAGATAGGAACTGGAAACACGGGGAATCCAGGGCAGATGATCCCTTCAGGACCAGTGGTGAGAGTGGCAATACCAGGAGGGTGGAGGGAAGGT